TGGCCATCCCCCATGGGGGATGATTTCTCGCTTTCTATCTCTCTGTCTTTGTCTGTCTGGCAAGTGCACGCGCCCTATGGCAAGAACCTCTCTTAAAAAAAATTGTACATAGAGTTTTAAATACTTTTTCTGCCTTTCATTTGGTGCATCATTTATTTTACTACATAACCTGTAAATATTTTATGTACATATTGATTCATAACATCAAATTTTTCTCTTTAATTTATATGTAATTTACAGTTTTTAACTATTTTGGGAGATATAGTCATAATGATCATTTATTATTTCTGATATTATTCCTAGTCACCAGCCATGAAGGTTATCATCATCATCCCAAGAAATTTCATCTTCTCTATAAACACCATCCTTGGCCTCCATTCTCTTGCTCTCTTCCTTAATGTATTTTCTTTCCTATCCTGTCTTTAGCTCATGGCATTACCACTTTGATTCTTGCTAGGACCAGGGAATTAAATTATATCTTCAGCACCTTACCTTTCTGTCACTGCTTCATAACTTTATACTCTTGAATTCCATGACATAAAACTGCATAGATGGAACTTAGAGTTCATTCACAAAAGCAACAAAAGTAGTTTGTTTTCATGTACTTAACAGGATTTATAGTCTATATAAGAGGTCTTCAAAAACTGCATTGAGGGACCAGCAGTTAGCGTAATGGCTATGTCGCTAGACTCCCACGTAGTTAACCGCGGTTCGCGTCCCGGACCCAGTGGCTTAAAACTCACACCGGGAGCGTGTGTGTGCATGCCCAAGATCCCGAGAGGAGAATGGAGGAGAAGGGATTGTGACATGGCCATCCCCCCGGGGGGGGGGTGATTTCTCGCTTTCTGTCTCTCTGTCTCTCTCTGTCTGGCGAGCGCACGCACCCTATAGCAAAAACCTCCCCCCCCAAAAAAAAAAACCTGCATGGAAAATGTGTTATGAAAGAAAGTGTGGATTTTAATTTTTTTTTGCACCAAAATAACTTTATATTGTAATTCCATTTTCCCACAGACATTTTGAAGTCCCCTACAATATGTAAGGGAAACTACAAAATCAGAAACCAAAAAGATGCCAAAAAAGGAAATAAATGTCCCGTTCTGATTAGAAAGGCTGACTGCTGTTCAAGTGCCTCAGTACTCTAACCATCCAGTTAACTCAGTATTATTATCATCAAGATTCCAATCAGGTTTTCCATAATACTTTAAAATGATTCAGAATTTCATTTGAAAAACATAAGACCTCAAAGAATATTCTAGAAAAGAAGAAGAATGAACAAGCCCTGTCAGGTGTTAAAGCTTATTTAAAACAATAATTCAGCGTTTTATTAGGAAAAATAATGCAAGCATAGAAATCAGTGGAACCAAAAAGTAAAAAATGGAAATTAAATATTAATACACCTGTAACAAAAGTATTGAGTACCTGCTGCACTATATGACAAAGCAAGTATACAGAACAATGGGAAATTAAATAATGATTTCATAAATTTTGTTTTAAATATCTCTGAGCAACCTGGAAAACAATTAGTTTAATGTCTTCTCTTAAACCCTACACCATAATGAGCTCCAACATTACTGATTTTTGTTTTTTAACTTTTGCTACAGGGTGCGTGCACTCAGCAGAGAGAGAGTTAGGAGGCAGTGAGAAAGTATCCCCCAAAGGAAGTGACCAACACTGCAATCCTGTTTCCTCCATTCTCCTCTCAGGATATTGGGCACACACACACGCACATGCCTGACATGTTTTTCAAGCCACCGGGTCTAGGACTCAAACTGTGCAGTCAGCTGCAGGGGCTCCACCTGCCTTCACCATCACACTACCAGCTTGGCCCTCCTGACTGAATTATACAACTTAACACATCTAGGAAATTTGTGAAGACACATGAACAAATTATAAATTGACAATACAAAAGACTTTCAAACAATGAAAAATACTATAAATAGGAAGATAGCAGGGCAGAATGGAAGGGAGTTATGGGAGCCAGATCCCACACGGCTGACATTACAGTTTCAATCCTGGACTCAGCAGCTTGAAAAATATGCCAAGCAAGTGCACATTTGTGACCAAAATCCCAAAAGGATGGGGAAATGGAGAAGAAAGGTTTATGATGAGGCCATGCCCCATTGGAGAGTGCTTTCTCTCTCTCCCTCTGTCTGTCTCTAGTGAACACATGTGCCCTCTGCCAAAGTTTTTAAAATTTATTTTTTAATCTACATTTAATCACTGTACATCTTTACAGTGTGCAGCATGGTTTTTCCCAGCATGAATACAGTGCATATTAGTCAAGTCAAAGACATTACCATATACATTATCATCAACAGATAACTTCATTTTTGTGTCTATTAAATGTTTTTTTCCCGATCCCCTCCCTCCTGCCCCGTTACCTACCCACTCTTACTCGCCATCTTCTTTCTTTTCTTAAAGAATTATTTATTTAATTTTATTTGTTATTATTTTTTAATTTGACCAGACAGAGAGAGAAAGGGAAAGTAAGATAGCAAGCCACCAAGTTCGGGACTCAAACTGTACTTGGCCATGTGAGAATCCAATGTCTTTAACCATCATACCACCTGCTGGCCCCTATTAGTCACCACCTTCTATACTGTCTGTAGTATCTTCTGTTGACCTCCCTGTTATTATACCTTCCAGTCTTTTAGTTTCTGCTCTAGAGTGCAGACATTCAATATATATTAAGTGGGGACATACAAAGCCGATCTTTCATAGTCTGGCTTACTTAGCTTAGCATTAATTCTTCCATATTCACCCACTTTATATCAGATGTCAAGTTCTCATTGTTTTTTAATGGCTGAGTAGTATTTTATAGAGTACATGTGCCATGTGTTTTTCAGTCCACTCATCTGTTCTTGGACATTTGGGTTATTCCATGTGCTAGAAGTAGTGCTGCAGTAAACATGAATGTGCAAGTGTTTTTCTGACTATTTTCCTATTCTTTGGGTAGATATCTAAGAGTGGGATTCCTGGATTGTGTGGTAGTTCTATTGAGTTGCTGGAAAAGTCATAACGTATTTTTCTATGCAAAAATGTGTCGTGACTTTTCCAATGACCCAATTTTTGGAGGTTTCTGAGGAACCCCATATCATTCTCTGCAGTGGCTGTACTAATTTACATTGCCACCAGCAGTGTAGGATTTCCTTTTCACCCTAGCCTTGCTAGCACGTATTATTTTTTGAATCTTATCTATTCTTTCTGGGGTAAGTGCTATCTCGTGGTTTTGATTTGCATTTTCCTTATGGTAAGAGACATTGAGCATTTTTTCATATGCTTTTTAGCTGTTCATCTTCTTCCTTAGAGAGTTGTCTGTTCAGCTCATTTTCCCATCTTTGAATTGAATTGATTATTTTTTTTACAGGTAAGCTGTTTGAGTTCCCTGTATATTCTATTTATCAGTGCCTTATCTGAGGCATAGTTTGCAAATAGATTCTCCCATTCTGAGGTTTGTCTCCTCACCTTAATTATTGTTTCTTTTGCTATGCAGAAGATTTTTAGCCAGATGTAAACCCACTTGTCTATTTTCAGAATTATTGCCTTTGTTTTGGGGGTCTTATTTTAAAAGTCTTTGCCATGGGAACCAGCAGATGGCATAATTGTTACATCACTGGCCTCCCGCATAGCTGAATATGGTTCAGGTTCTGGGCCCAGCAACTTGAAACTCAAGCCAGTTGCATGTGTATGCGTGCTCAAATTCCCAAGAGGAAAATGGAGGAGAAGGAATGGCATCATGGCCATAGCCCCTGGTTTCTTGCTTTCTGGCTCTCTGTCTCTGTCCAGTGAGCACACACAGCCTATGGCAAAAATCTCTCTAAAATCAAAATAAAAGTCTTTGCCCATTCTTAAGTACCTAAGAGTTTCCCCATTTGTTCTACCAGTAGTTTTATAGTTTGAGATTTTATGTTTAGATCCTTGATCTATTTTGAGTTGATTTTTGTTCATGTTGAGAGGGATAGGGGAGATAGGGGTCTAGTTTCATTTTTCTGCAGGTGGATATCCAGTTTTTACTGCACCATCTGGTGAAGAGATTTTCTTTTCTCCATTGGGTTGTCTTAGGTTCTTTGTCGAAAATCAGTTGGCTATATGCTTTGGGATTTATTTCTGAGTTCTCAATTCTGTTCCATTAGTCTACCTGACTGCTTTTTTTTTTATGCCAGTACCATGCTATTTCACAGCTTTGTGATTAATTTCAAATCATGAAGTGAGATGCCTCCTACTTTATTCTTTTTGCACAGTATTGCTCTGGCGATATAGGGCCTTTTATGACTCCAGACATATTTTATGCTTGTTAAAAGGAAAACAGGAAAATATTTGCCTTAAATATTATAAAATATTAATGTAAAGAGTTAAGAATCTCCTACTGGCCAAATCTGTGACAGTTTTAACATTACAATAATGAATGATAATGATAGATTGCAACCCAATGAATAAAATAAGAATCCATGAATTAATCCATAGATCAGTTGATAGGGAGAAAGAAAAGCTCTTTCCAGTAGTAGAATTCCAACTAATAAATGTAAAAATAATGATGGAGTTGTGAGTTGATAGGAAGTACCATTACATGTTCAACATTGGAGATAGTGAATGTTTATATCCTTGATTTGATTATCATACACTGTATACATCCTCTAAAGAACCATACTGTACCTCAGAAAGATGTACAATTTTATGTAAATCAGAAATTACAATTAAGACAAAGAAAAAACATATCATTACAGTATCTACCTAAAAGATATCAGCATAAAGTTTACTCAAGGTTAAAAAAATAAATAATCTTGGAACCAGCAGTTGGCATAATGGCTGTCACTGGACTCCCATGTAGTTGACTGTGGTTCAAGTCCCAACCAACTGGTGGCTTAAACTCACTTCGGATGCATATGCGTGACTGCCCAAGATCCCAAGAGGAGAATGGAGGAGAAGAGATTGCAGTGTGGCCATTCGCTCTGAGGGGTGATTTCTTGCTTTCTGTCTGTCTCTCTCTGTCTTTCTGGCAAGCTCACGCACCCTATAACCTCTCCAAAAA